TTTATTCTATCTCAATATGAGATATAATTTAGGAGGAGAGATCAAATTTGAAATCAAAATGTTGATGCAATTTAATTATTCACTGATTGATATTTAATATTATATTTTCCTTCGAATTTTTATCATTCGCTTTGACAAGTTGATGGAATAAATATTTGATATTTGGAACGTAACATTTGCAAAAGTGGCACAAATTTCAAAAAGTTAAAATTAAAGGGTAAATGTTTTGAAAATTTATCCCTCTCGAAGATAATATAACCTACCCTTAATAAAAAACTAGATCCTCAACTTCAACCTTTAAACTTTTGCAATCTAAATTAACAGGAAATCAAGAAAAGTGAAAATAACTCGACAATCTTGAAAAACTCTTTAAAATTTAACAAATCAAATACGATCTTCTTCAAAAATCCTTTCCTAAATCTACACCCGTAAATTTAACAACGATCTATATATATATAAATCAAAAATTGATTCTATTAGATAAAATTAGCGATAATCAATTGAAAACAAAAGGTCAAAGGTTGAATTGACGAGAAACAAAGAGGAGGAGAAGAGCATTGGGTACCAGCATAAACGTCTTGGGATCTCGAGTTACCCTCGTCTTACCCGGATGGATGCACCGCTTTCGGGTGGTCCAACGATGGAAAAATGAGCAAGAATTCGAAAAGGTGGGGAGATATAAAGTCTGGAACGAGCGCGATAATCGGTGTATTCTTATTGCATCGATCCCCCGAGTCTCGAGATTAAATAATCGTATCGTTGGTTAATAACACGCTATGTTTCACGTTACCCGGAGAAAATATTAATTATCATCCATCAACCATCTTTATCGAGGCATCGAGCTCCGCAATTTTGTTTCTTACTTTCTTCGATTCTTCCATACTCGAAATTAATTTCAATCCCTCTGATTTTGGACAGATGCGAGATCTCTCTTTCGATAATCAGTTTATTTCCATTATTATTATTTCAGAAACTTTTCAAACGTATATTTGAAAAAATTTGTCCACTTTTTAAAAGCCAGGAAATTTAAAAAAAAAAAAAATTCGAATTAATTAATAATAATAATGGTACGAGACAGAGGTGCTTATTAAAGTTCAATCTTGGTAAAATTTAACCTTTTTTAGGAAGGAAAGGAAAGCAGGCTTGAAAATTGATCGAGAAATCGTGGATCTCGACCCAGAATCCTGAATCGATGTTTTCGCAACTGTTGGAGAGTCGAAAGCGAGAGTCTCGGCCGGGTCGAACCCAACACCACCGGCCAAGGTAGTGATTGGACATCTTCGTTTTTCGGGACACCACGGGTCGGCCACCTGCCTCCATCCACCGATCCTCCTCGTTCGAGGTCGTTGCTCGATATTTCGAAGATACTCGACGGACAAGAAATCTTGTGAAAATCTTTTCTTGCGAAACAACAACAATTATTCCCCTTGGATCGTTTGAAAAATTGTGTGGAATAAATCGAATCATTTGGATCAAGATTAAATACATTTAAGTTGTCCACTTGAAAGAAGGATTCCCATTTAATTTTGATATTTTAAATAATAATAAAAGCTTGTCCTTCGTACACGACGATTACGGGATAATCGATCTTCTTCGTGGATCTCTTTTTAGACCGTTCACGGTTAAACTATCTTATAATTTATCGTAATTTATGCCTCTTCCGTATAATTAAACATTAATTGACCACTGCCCATAAATAAGTAATTTTGAAAAACGTGCACTGGGCATCATTATACCCAATTGGCCGGATTAAGACCAGTGTTCATGCCTATACTCGTAAACACACGAAGAAATAAAATGACTCGTAACACAAATATGCCACGATATAATAATTCTTTTCATTTCCAATTTTCAAACGTCAAAATTCGATTCGATTTAATTCGATTTCTTATTTATCTTTAAAGAAGATGGCCTGAATGTTTATAATAAAAAAAAAAAAAAAAAGGAAAACCTCGATGTAATATTCCAAATATATAAGTCCAATAAACATCCCTTCCCGAGGGGAGGTTGAACGGAAGAAAATAAAAAATGGCGTTCCACGTCGGAAACGAGTAATTGTGCCGGAGAGAGTGCAGAGGAAAGGCGACGTTTGAAACGGATGTACGTAACGGATGACTGTTATCGAGGGGTCAGATTAATCGTTTCATTTTCTCTCTTTCTTTCTTTCTTTCTCTCCTTTTTCAATACATTAAAATTATGTATTCGGTCTATCAAGGACTGGGCCCGACTACCGAGGGTCACGTGGTGAAACGTACAACCGCGAGGAAGGTGGCCGGCCAGGTGTTTCAACAACGTCGATTTTCTGGGTCGTCACGCCAGACGGACACCCTGGATCCCGTGCGTTTGGCACATGACTGTCGGGAACACATTTTTATACGCCTCCTATGTAGGTCACACGCGCCACGCGTGAACCTATATGATGTAAGGTTTGATTGATAAACCTCTCCCCGATGCCACGTGAAAACTATAGAATAATTCTTGATTCGTATCTCCAATGTTTCCATCGTCGAATAATAAGATCGTATCTTTAAGTATTTAAATATTCGATTAATTAATCGATTATAATCATTCTAGGAGGGAAGATATATAATTGATTCCGTTTATATATATATATATATATATGCTTTGAAGGTACAAAAAACATCCCTTTCTTCAAGGAATCAAAATTAATCCAATTAATTCAATACGTAACATATTTAAATAAGGATTATCTCCTCATCTTCCTAATATTTTCATTTGATACTCAATTGTGCTCTCCCCGTGTTACATTTATATTTATGGACAAAGTGGATCCTTGGAAAGGCAAGATGTGTTCTGTACGGAGTTTGATATCTCCGTAAAAAAGCATTTCGTTGGTGGCAGGTGTTGGCTGAGGAGACCGCTGCTCGTCCCAACCACCTGCTCGTTTTTTATTCAATGTATTCCACACATTGTGTTCACACTGTTCGACCCTGTTCGCGGCCTGCCCTCCACGTGCCCGAAAACCGGGCACGAGCTTCTTTCACCGACTCTGCCTGCCGTCTTGAAAAGTAATCCTCCAGGCAAGGAGGATCGAAAAATAACCTCTCAGGGAGAAATCTGACATAATACGATGAAATCGCAAGGTGATGATCGAATTTTTTCCTTCGATCTAACTTTTTCCATCGTTTAGAATATTCCTTTTTATCTTTCTCTTCTTCTTTTTCTATCGTTTTCCTGGGCAGATAAATCATTTGTAAAAAAAAGAATAGGATGTTACGTGAGTATATACGAATATGTTAATATCTCGAGCAATGAGCGAGGTTTTAAATACCTTAAAAGATTCGAACAAACCTGAATGAAATCTTGTATTTTATTCCAAAATTCTTCTATTCGATCAGACTTTGAAATCAGACCTTGAATAAAAGCTGTTGAACACTATATAAGATCTTCCTCTCTCGTTAAAGGGCAACAATTTCTCGAAGCAGGTGAAAGAAGATGCTTAATATTAATAAATCTTTACGAGCTTTCTCTCTCTCTCCAACTCGACAAAGGAAATATTGAGTTTGAATAAGAGTCGCCTGTTTATCGCCCATACTTTCCATAGTTGGTCTATCTCCTCAGGTGGAAAGCAAGCGAGGAATCGTGAGAGATGGGATGCAGGTGCGACCCCCTTTTCAAGGTCCTGATACCACTCGACGCTTTCCGCGCTCGCAGACTCTGCTCGATTAATAATGACGAAAGGAAGAGAAATCGTCCTTCGTCGAGTTGGAAACGGATCGGATCGATCTCTCGCATACCAGACGATCGTCATCCGACGACAAACAGGTGATCCCTGGCGCACAGATCGGTTATCTTGCAGCTTGTCGCATCATGGAATCTTTCCATCTTTCATTCTCGTTAACATTCCTCCGCTTCCTACGCTTCCTAATCGTCCAATTGAAAATTAATGAAAAATAGATATAAAACGCGAGGATTTTAAATAAATTTTAAAATATATAACTCGATAAGTATTTTGGTTAATCTTCCAAGTTTTTTCCAATGTTTTGAAAATAAAACGTTCGATTAATTTTCGGAAAGAAGGAATAAGAGTGTGAAACGTAAATAGATAATACAATTATTGGGAAAGGTTTCAAAAAGACAAAATGGATCCTCCGTAAGAATTCTTCCTTCGTTTGGTTAATGAAGACGAGAAAAGAGCAACGAATTATTATTCCTAAAAGCTTTGAACAGCTTAATTTCCTTTTCCAAGGGTGCACTCTGTGGGGGATTAAATATCCCTCTAAAACCATTCCCAATGAATTACGAAACGGCTGCTAATCCGTAATCCTTCCCCCGATCTTCTCCGTTATATCCTGATAATTGAAATATCATTAGCGTGAATTATTTTCCGTTATGTAATATCGTTACAACATATTGTAATATCCGTATTGTAACACATCAAATTAAATAATAAAGTCTTATATAATTCCTGCCGAATAAAACGTAAAGGAATGTAAACACTTCTTGTTACGCTTATTACCTCCTATTATGTAATAATTTAATAATCCCTCTCCCCTCTTGCGTAATAATATAACATTATTACACCCGAGTTCTGTAAAAATGTATAGAAATTTCGGGAAAGAGAGACTGGACGCGTGCGATTAGAAGAAAAAAATTTTCATAAAATTTTCAATCGATAAATTAAACCGTGGAGAAGAAGGAAGAAGGAACTTCCGCTTCTCCGCTGAAAGGAAACTAAACCGCGTATACGAAACGAAAACTCGTCCATCCCGAAAGAGGATTTTTTAAGTTAGTGTCAACAAAATCGTGATGAAAAATTTATCTTTCCGCGTCGATGGCCACCCCACGCCATCTAGATTGCCTTGGCGCTAGGCCTTCCACTCCTTGTGTATGCCTCCACACTTGTAACGGCCGAAGTTCAGTCTATCGAGGACCTTGACACAATTCCAGCCGGCCGGTCAGGGCGGCTAGGTGAACCTAAAACGCGGCCAAGAATGTCGCGTAAGGCCTCCACAATTAGTTAATAATTCCCGGCCGTCCTTAATTTCGCGTCAACACGAGCAGCGACGAGGTGGATTAATTAAACCCCGGCTCGATCGAAACAAAAGGCGGTAACTTCTTCTGTTTTCTAACCCCGTCCCGTTTTTCTCGACCAATTACCCTCGTCCAAAATCGTATGAAATATGTATTCGGCCGTCTTATTGGCCGATCTCCTTCGATGTCTACGTATGTTATATACGTTCTTTATTGGGCTTGATATTCGATATACGTGTGTTTCTGCGTCAAGGACGTCGTTAACCCTCATGATCGATTGGATCAGGGTTTTCTTTTTTCTTTTTTTTTATATAGTATTCGAATACGAGGGAAAATTATAATAATCCCCTTTCCTGTGAAAAGTGTTGATATTTTCGAATAATTCTATATCGAAAAAATATTTTTACGAGTTTTTCAAGTGAATGAAATTATTAAATAATTAAGTTAGTCGATTATTTGTTTGAATAAGTAATCGAAAAAGTGGTGAAGCGTGGAGCAGAGTTATTTATAAGCGTTATCCTAGAATATATTCTATCTGAGAGATCTCGCTTACAATTAGATACGGCGAAGTTTGGTCGCCTTTAGCTAGTTCATATTCTCAATTGTGAGAAGTAGAAGAATCGTGTCAAGGTTCGGCCGTGCTTGTATTAAACCGAGCGTTTAAGTTCGCGTAGGATGCAGCCTGGTAAAGACACAGGTGTCTCACAAACACAATTCAATGATAAGTAAGAGGGATTAAAAAAATTAATCGAATCAATTTATCGAAAGTCGATGTAGGAATTAAATTAATTAAGAATTTACCATCGGTGAAATAATCGCCAAGATAACGAAAACAATATTCCAAAAGATGTTCCAAAAATTAAGATTCGCAAGATTAACGATATTTAAACAAAATTTCATTTTTCATCGAAGTTAAATTTAAATTTTTGTCCAACAAAAGGGTGCATAGTTAAAACGAATCACCAATTTATATTGAATTCATAATTTATATGAATTTATAATTGCGCTATGATGCAATCTTGTGATCGAGGGTTGCTTCTTTTCTTTTTCTTTTTTTTTTTTTTTTTTTTGTTTTTGCAACGACGTATATTGTGTGTAAATCTAATAAACTTTATTTTACATCTGCTTCCTTATTCTGCATAATTTGAAGAGAACGATATTCCGATATTGGACTCGATGTATTCATCTCACCGGAAGTTAAATATTAACCTCGATTAACACCGATACTTGTATAACGCTTTGGTATGAATAATGTACGGGTGACTAAGATTTCTTCTTCCTCTTTTTTTTTTTTTTTTTTTTTTTTAATACCAATTCCCGGGTGATTTCATCGCGACGACCTCGCAAGACCCCGAACTCATTTCCCCACGTCACACTATCCTGTTATTCGTTCCGATCCGACGAACGTTAATTCTCGAATCGAAAATTTTGTAATCGCCTGCAAATTGAAATTTGAAATTTCGAAAGCGATTCAATTGAGATTCAATTTCTAAACGGAGGATCGTCAAAAAGGAATTGATTTGAACACAATATCGATCCTCCAAAGTCTTTGGAGTAGGATTCTTTCATACCATTGTGTTACATTAAACCTCGGGTCAAGAACACAAGTGTATAGTTCATAATTCAAAAGCAGCAATAACGTGTTCTGAATTTCTAATTTGTGTGTTGTGCACAAAAGATACTTATCTTATATTCCTCCTTCCAATTAAAAATTTTTAACACTCGTTTTCCAACGTTTCTTCTTTCAATTTTAATGGAGCAAGTAGTTTCGCATACACGATGTATCGTGCATTATCAAAGCTCAATTTCTTAAATTTTTCACAAACGAGTATTAAGTATTACGAATAATTATATATAATTGCAAATTTGGAAGATAAAATATTTTGCTTCGATCGAAATATTCATCAATCAATAAAAATCCAAATTTCTCTTCCCTTTAATCCTTTTCTCGTATGTATAAAAATTTCGAGGGAATCTTTAAACGAAGTTCCACGCTTATTTATCCATCATTGTTCGCATCCTCGGTACGTTCACGCGGTATATAATAATAACCTCTGACATATCCAAGTCTCTGTTACACAAGCTCGATAACAGAAGGTCAAATTTCAATGATCAAAGCAAATTCTAACTCTAAGAATGGCGAAAGCACATTGTCGATCTCCCTTTATTCCCATTGATTCGAATTGAACGCATCCATAAACATTTGTACAATAGTATACAAGCTAAAAAAAAAAAAAATAATAATAATAATAATGATAATCAAAGCTCTCTCTTCGTTTGGAATAAAATAACCCATGCCTGATCCATCGAGCGGATTTTAATTAATCAACACGTGGAATAAATTACGAGGCGGTAAACTGGAATTTAATTCTTGAAAGCGTTCGATCAGCGTTTTCACGGTTCGCATAATTCCAAGAATTTTTATATTTACGTCCATTAACTTTATTTAACGAAGTTCTCGATACTCGAGTGGAAATCGTTTTGCGATTCAATGATCCGCTACCGAGAACGCGTATGCAAATCGATAGATGTGTACCAAACAAGTTTCGAAACAATTAGTTCTACTGTGTGTGTTCCGAGAACGTTTCCAAGTTAATCGAATCCGTTAAGTGATATCGTAATTAAGGTTGAGAAATTTTGTTAGAATTTTATTAATCGCGAAATTCACCCTCTCGAGGATCATTGTTTCGATTAAATTCTCTTCTCCTTCTTCTTCTTGAAGAAAAAAAAGAATGATCGATCTTATCTCGAAAGGGGAAATAATATCGTCGAAAATCAACTTGACTTTTTCGTCAATGATTGTCAGGTATCGGAGATAATCCCATGCACGAAATGTCGAGGTTCAAAAACACCGTATCCTGGTTATCCTTCCTCGAGCTACAAGGACGTATGGGGTCAGTATGCGTGGGTTGTTGCACCGGCTAGAGCCGATCGATGCAGCTTGCAGAGTGGGGTGCACAACCCGGCTAGCAACGACCTACCACATTTCCACCCCCTTGAGAACAGCAACAGGCAGCTATTTACCGCGGGCACGGTATTATCTGCTCGTGTTTTTCTTTTCTTTTTTTCTTCTTTTCTTTCGAAATTGAATCGAATTGTACCTCGATTTTTTGAAAATTTTCATCTGCACGAGGAGGAAGAAGGAAACAAAGAATCGTTGAAAATATTTTTCGTTCGGAGAAGGAAAGGTAACGTGATGGGAGTAGATTATAGATCCAAATCTATGAAATTCAAAAAGAGAGAAAAAGGAAAAGAAAATTTAATTGATTACCAGGTAACGATCGAATGGAACGAATAATCCAATATGCTTCGTCGATTCTTGAAAAAAATTTGTAAATGAAATTTCATTCGTATCTAAAAGGAGATGCCATTCCAAGTTTATAACAATCAACATTGAAAATGTTCGATGAAAATCAATGAAAATTAATTCTTCACATTACGTTCTCTACGTTTGGACACGTTCTAATTCATAGAGTTTTCAACAATTTTTCTTAATTTCTTTTTTTTTTTTCATAATTGTCCTAATCCCTGTGGACGGTAGATATTCTATATCGTTAATTATAGCGCATTATCTGATTATCTAAATTTACAATTCAAAGCACGATATCAGTTTCAAGGATACGTCTAAAGTAATTAAACCGTTGCACAAACCATCGTTGCTAATAGAATAACAGCGAATTGCATTCCTGCAAAACGAGGACAGTGTATTATGTATACCTCGCATTGTATCAGAACACGCTATTATTATTTATTCGTCTCGTTAGAAAATTGATAATTAACGATCGATGCTTAAATAGCATAGAGTTACAGAATGGAATCTAATTTACCAAAGCTCCCTTTCAACTTCTTTCACACTTTCATCCTTAGCAGGGATCAATCTTATTACCTTTTTTAATTTCAAATTCATCCTCAATCCCTCCACTCGTATATAAAATATTTTTCACTCCGTTTCCGGGAATAATCGAGGGAAATAATGAAACATGCTTAATTTAATCTTCGGATCGACGAGTGGCTCGATCGAAATGAAGAAAAGGGGATTTCGTTATTGGTTACGGAAACGTTGAAAGGGGAATGGTCGAAGCCTTTCCCCTTTAACACGCTTTTCCTTTTAATTCCTCGTTTCCTCGCCGACAAGTGGCGTCAGTCTCGAGCGAGAAGCCACTCGACTTTTCCGTTTTGCTAAATGAATCGCACTTGAAATCGCAAAGCGACTTCGTCTTCTCGACGCAACATTTCTTTTTCTTTTCCTTTCTTTTTCTCTAGATTGAAGCACGCAGTCGAGAGTTTTGCACTTTGAAATTCATCTCCACCGTCTTTGTTTTAACTTTTCAATATTCAAATTTCGATTCTAATTTTTATCCACGAATCTTCATGCTGAAAATTTTCAATCTTTTGGAAGTATTTTCAAATTTTCAAACTTCCAGTTGTTCGTATAATAAAGAGAATCGTTGCTCGTATTCTAGAAAAGTATCGATTCGAAAGTAATATCGCAGGATATTTAAAAATTCTAGAAATTATTTCCTTCCAATTTTCCACTACATAAAATTTGATATGAATAAATTATCATTTAAAAGGCCACGAAGATTGTCTCCATTGGCATCTAAAACAACCAGGGATGGTTACACTGACGCGAAAATACTCTTAAAAATTGTCAAGATCGACGGATGAAATACCTCAACAGATATTCCCACGTCATTCGTAGGCTCGATCTTTCGATCGTATCCTTCGGAACGAAGACGCTTCCTTTGAATTACACGTTAATCGTTATTTTTAAACGGGACTGCGAAATCCTCCATTGCGATTTTGACGAGCAAAGATTAAATTATTTTCTGAAAAATAAAAATGAAAATAATTGTTATTATTATAAAGCTGATAAAATACGAATCAATGGCGAGAAATTCAAATATTCGATGGATCGAAATTCATGGAAAAATAAAAATATGGCGATCTACGAGAAATTTAAAGATGATGAAAATCAAAAATTACGAAATAAGGTAATTGATAATTGATAAAATATCATGGTTTTAAAAATAAAAATATATTTAAACAAAAAGAAAAAGGAACTTCGCAAGACATC